ACATCTTTGCAGATCTTTAATATATGCCTTAATAAAAGACAGATGATTTTATTCTGGGGCTTGACCTCAGGGCCTGGGCACTGTTCCTAAGCTTCTTTTGCTCAAGGCTAGCACTCTACCATTTGAGCCACAGTGCCATTTCCGGCTTTTTCTGTGTTTGTGGTACTGAGGAATCAAACCCAGGGCCTCATGAATGCTAGGCAAGCACCTTACCACTAAGCCACATTCCCAGCTCCAGATGATTCTTCTATGTGCTTCTTGTATTCAATATCTGTTTTAGAAGTAAATGAAGTATATCTAAACTGACATAGATGTGTACTAGTAAAAGGAGTACTTCAATGAACTTTCAGTGAACTGTGAATATTCTTTTTTTTTGATACTACACCTAACCTCCACAGAAGTTTCACTTTCTTTTTTTTTTTTTTTATTGTGAACATACTGTACAGAGGGGTTACAATTACATGGGCAAGATAAAGAGTACATTTCTTATCAAGCATTGTAGCCTCCTCCTTTGTTTCCCCTTCCCATCACTTCCCATCCTCCCCCTGCCCCCCCAGTTTCACTTTCTTAAAGACTGGTTGGTTGTTTTTTGTTTTTGCTGGCTCTATGGTCTGTGGGCCCAAGTCCTTGAGCTTTTTTGTTTTTTTTACACAAGGCCAGAATCACTTGTGCTTAATGTATACATCCCACATAATAGTATTTCCAGCCCCAGCAGGAAAGTCTATGAGACTTTTTGTCAGCCACAGAGCTTGAACTCAGGGCCTGGGCACTGTCCCTGAGTTCTTTTGCTCAAGACTAGCACTTTATCACTTTGAGCCACAGCTCCACTTCCATCTTTCTGGTGGTTAACTGGAAATAGATAAGAGTCTTACAGACTTTCCTGCCTGGGCTGGCTTTGAACTGCTATCTTCAGATCTCAGCCTGAGTAACTAGGCTTTCAGGGGTAAGCCACCAATGTCTGGCTCTATGAGACTCTTATCTCCAATTAGCCACTTAAAAACTAGAAGTGGAATTGTGGCTCCAAGTGGTACAGTGCTAGCTTTGGGCAAAAAAAAAAAAAAAAAAAAAAAAAAGCAAACTCAGGAACAGCATCTAGACTGAGGTAAAGTCTCTGACTGATTACCACCCCTTCCCTCCCAAAAAAAAAGTATAAGGGAAGATGTGCTTAATTTATATGTAAATACTACATGATTTTATGGAAGGAACTTGAGCAACTTCAGATTTTGTTATCTACATGAGGTTTGGAACCCATCTCCAGGATACTAAGGATCAACTGTATTGATTAGTCTAGTCTTGATTTCTGCTATAGGACCAGGAGTTCTAATTACATAGTTATGGTGATAACTATGCACTTTCAGAGCAAATGTTAACACAGTGAAAAAAGCAAATTACACATTATTACAAAAATAACTTTGGGGCTGGGAAGGTGGCTCAGTGCTAGAGTGCTTGCCTTGCATGGATGATGCCCTGGGTTCAATTTCTCAGCACCACAGAAGCAGAAAAAGCCAGAAGTGGTGCTGTGGCTCAAGTGGTAGGTAGATTGCTAGCCTTGAGCTGAAGAGCTGAGGGACAGCGCCCAGGCCCAGAGTTCAGGCCCCATGACCAACACAAAAACAAAACAAAACAAAATTTTTTTGGTCACGAAAGACTCCTTGAAAGTCTTATCTCCACATTACTGAGCTATCTTTTTTTTTTGGTTGGTCGTGGGGCTTGGACTCTGGGCCTGAGCGCTGTCCCTCAGCTCTTCAGCTCAAGGCTAGCACTCTACCACTTTAGCTACAGTGCCACTTCCGGTTTTCTGGTAGTTTATTGGACATAAAGAGTTTCACGGACTTTCCTGCCTGCGCTGGTTTTGAACCGAGATCCTCAGATCTCAGCTTCCTCAGCTAGGATTACAGGTATGAGCCACCGGTGCCCGGCCTGAGTTATCTTTGTTTTTTTGGGGGTCTGGTCATGGGGCCTGAACTCTGGGCCTGGACGCTGTCCCTCAGCTCTTCAGCTCAAGGCTAACGCTCTACCACTTGAGCCACAGCGCCACTTCTGGCTTTTTTCTTTTTGCTTATGTGGTGCTGAGGTATCAAACCCAAGGCCTCATGTATGCAAAGCAAGCACTCTACCACTGAGCCACCTTCCCAGCCCTGGCCTGAGTTATCTTATGTTAATATATTTTTTTTTCTTTTTTTTGTTGGACCTGGGGCTTGAACTCTGGAGTTCTGGGTGCTGTCCCTGAGCTCTTCAGCTAAAGGCTACTGCTTCATCACTTGAGCTACAGCACCACTTCAGGTTTCCTGGTGGCTCATTGGAGATAAGAGTCTCACAGATTTTCCTGCCAGGGATCTCAGCCTCCTGAGTAGCTAGGATTACAGGCATAAACCACTGGTGCTGGGCTGATGTTAATTTTTTTTTTTTTTTTGGTTGGTAGTGTGGCTTGAACTCTGGACCTAGGGGCTGTCCCTAAGCTCTGCAGCTCATGGCTAGTGCTCTACCACTTGAGCCACAGCGCCACTTCTGGTTTTCTGGTGGTTGATCGGAGATAAGAGTCACATGGACTTTCCTGCCTGGGCTGGCTTTGAACAGTGATCCTCAGATCTCAGCCTCCCCGGTAGCTAGGATTATAGGTGTGAGCCACAAGACCCCGGCTCAAAGAAAAGTGTTTTTAAAAGAAATTCTTTTTCTAAAAGAAATTCTTCCAGGGCTGGGAAGGTGGCTCAGTGGTAGAGTGCTTGTCTTGCATGCCTGAGGCCCTGGGTTCGATTCCTCAGCACCGCATACGCAAAAAGAAAAAAGCCGGAAGTGGCGCTGTGGCTCAAGTGGTAGAGTGCTAGCCTTGACCTGAAGCGCTGAGGGACAGTGCCCCAGGCCCAGAGTTCAGGCCCCACGACTGGACCCCCCCCCCCAAAAAAAAGAAATTGTTCCAGCTTTTATGACTTCTGCTGCTAGTCATGCTTAATAAAATACTAAGTTGTCTTGAATATGTTGAAGTATGATCACAAAAGGTATTTGTTTTTAAACTCTAAGACCTCCACTGACTGAACTTGATTTTTCTGTTGCGGCTATAACCTTCAATTATATTGAAAATTTAACAGACATCTAAATCAACAGCTAATTTTTAACATTGAATTGTAAATGCAACAGCACAATTTGAAAATACATTAAATGCTTAATTTGTTCAGACCTGATATTTTAATACAACAATGTTATCATTGCCATTATCAAGATAATAAACATTTCTATTATTTCCTACCACCCCCCCAAAAAAAAAACAAAAACAAAAGAAAGAAAAATGTGTTTTAGGTGGACACCAGTGGTTCATGCCTGTAATCCTTACTACTCAAAAGGCTGAGATCTGAGGACTGAACTTCAAAGCCAGCCCAGACAGGAAAATCTGTGAGACCCATATCTCCAATTAAGCACCAAAAAAGCCAGAAGTGACTGAAGTGGTAAGAATGTTATCATTGAGCAGAAAAGCTCAGGGACTGCACCTAGGCCCTGAGTTCAAAGACCAAGACTGGTATGTGTGTGCACGCACATGTGCGCTCACACACACATACACACAAAGTCGTTACAATAACAGAAATATGTATGAAAGACCATGGAAATCTATATGAAGGGATAAATACTTCTGTTTATAGAACCTCCAGAAAGTGACACCTAAAGTGAAATCTTGGAGATGAGTTAGGAAATTTCTACCTTCATTCCACTCTACTTTCCTACTCTATTGGGTTGTATATAGATCCTCCTCTAGTTCCTAGAGATTATCAAAGTACCATCATTCTTTCTTGTGTCAGGGTTTCCACATTCTATGGACCTATTTTCCTTACCCTCTTCCTCTGGCTATCTGTATCCATCTCAGAGGTTTATAGTGTACTCCTTCTTGGTGAGGCTTTCTTAGACTCTAGCACTCATGTTTTTGAGCATCCATATCAATTTCTTTATATTACTAACCACAACTTACAATTGCTTAATCATGTGTGGGATTATCTGTCCTAAAGTTTTCTCTTTCAGTAGCATGGAAGATACATGAAGGCAGACTGCAGTGTCCAGCATGGTATGATTAGAACTTTGTACTGTACTAGGGACATAGTAGTAAGCACTCAATGACAGCTTACTGAATGAAAGGGGTACAGAAGCAGGCTGGGCACCCAGCTGGCCTCCTTTCTGTCATCACTTTGCCATCCCAATATGACTCAAGTAGAGTTCAATCCAGCCCAGTAGCCAGAACAATGATCGTTTCCTCTGCAATATTTCAGCTCCTCCTCAATGACCTAGTTCAGGAAAGCAGATCTATCCACCCTTTTGAGTAGATTAGAAATTCTCTCAGATTCCCCTTATAGGAATAGTATTACCTTAGGTGTTTTTCCCTTATAGGAATAGTATTACCTTAGGTGTTTTGAGCACAAACTTTTGTTTGCTTTCATCAGGGCCCAGCTGTGCCTTCAGTTTCAGGAGTTTTGCCACCTCCTCCTCGATCTGTTGGGGAAAAGAATCAGTTCGGCTATTCGTCGTCCCTCTCCCTTTCACATCATTCATTCGATATTCTTCCCATATCAGGAACAAGTCTTTCGACTGGGGGCCAGCCATCCTTCTCTCAGGATCCGCCCTAGCTATCTCTCCATCCCAGCCCATCCTCCCTACGAGCCCAGTCCCGTCCTCCACAACGCTGTCCTCCAGCCAGACTACCTCGCTTTATGTCCTTCCCTTGTCTCCTGCGTCATACCTGATCAGCGCTGGCCTTCTGCTGCTTGAGGCTCCGCACGCGCTCTCCCTGAAGCCGCACCAGTTCCTCCAGCTCTGCACGATCTGCCATTCTGCCGGCCACCTGGAGCTAGCTGCCCGCCTTTCAAACCGGCTGGGGTGAACGCAGCCTGAGCCTGGATGACTTCCGGCTACCGAGACTCTGATTTCCAGGCCTAGAGAGCCTCCGTGGAACTCAGAAACCGCTTCCGGGTTAGGGAGCTTGGGCTGTCCGGATCTAAGTCTACTGAGCACTTCCTGCCGAATGAGTTAGGTGCCCCTGGTGAGCCTCTTGAGCGTCCTGCTCTTTCCTGGAGATTCTCCCGGCCTTGTTCGCTGGCCTTTGGCTTCTCTCCTGGAAATCAGGCGTCCCGCAGCACGATGCCCCAGCTCGGGCTCCTATGCCGGAAGGCTTGGGCTGCCCTGCTCAGCCAGCTGGTGCGACCTCCCCATGCCGTGAGCATCCGGACGGTCGGTGGTCACAGCCAGGTGAGCCAGGTCAGGTGAGCCTGGTGGAGATGGCTCCTGACTGTCCCGGCATAGGCTTGTGCGTCCTTGGTTTTTTTTGTTGTTGTTGTTGCTGTTGTTGAGTGACCACTTTGTAACAGAACTGAACTAAGTCTTTTGGAGGTCTTGGTATTTCATACGGAGACCAGTCTTGGCAGGTTGGAGCTTTTTGTTTTCAGTTCGCAGCAGCCAAGGACATGGCAGTGGAAAGCTCCAATGACTTATTTACAGATACCTGGAAAAGGAGTATTTTCATACAGATACACAATCCATCTGAAATCCTTAGAGTCAAATTCATACTTTTTTTCTTAAGCCAAATGTAAATGGAATGGGTAAAGACCATTAATAAACTGAGTTCGCAATAGAATTTACCCCAACATGAATTTCAGAAACACACTTTTAGTTTTCAGAGACTTGGCATTAAAGAGATTTTGACATTACAGAGAAGGGATTGTGGACTTGATTTAGGTTTCTTTTGAGGAAGAGAATATCCTATGGTATTTTGGAACTAACACCCTCCCTCCCCCCCCCCCCCCCCCATTTCTGAAAGGACATTAGCCTGCTGGCAATAAAATTGGTGATTGGTGTTTTGCCTTACTTAAGGAAATCCCTAGTGCTCTCAGAGAAGATGCTTTGTGCTCTCTTGCACAGCAGGGTTCAGAGCTTTTGTTTCTTTTTCAAAAGTTAGTTGAAGCAGGAAAAGCATTTCTTTTCCTCTATTCCTGGGTTGTTCTTTGTTATTTGGTTCCTTCTCTGATATCTTCAAATTGCATTTCCCTAAGCTGATAAACAGAATTCTTATTTTTGCTCTTGGAGTAGGAACTGAGAACTGGAAAAGATCATGCTAATCTGTACACCTAGATGGTTATTAGGGATAGTGTTTGTTTTGGGTTTTTATTGATATTAGGAGCTTAAACTTTTTATAAACTCAAATACAATGAAGTCACTTAAGAGATGAAGACAGTCCTATATTACCTGTGTAATAGTAGTTACAATGCGGGTTCTCGAGGGTGGTAGGTGGAGATCAGGATAGATAAAATGGTGCTCAGGCATCTCATTGCTTAGTGTCAAGAATCTTTTTAGGGGTGCTGGGAATGTGGCTTAGTGGTAGAGCGCTTGCATAACATCTATTAAGTCCTGGGTCAATTCCTCAGTACTACATAAACAGAAAAAGCCAAAAGTGGCACTGTGGCTCAAGTGATCCAGTGCTAGCCTGGGCAAAAGAAGCTCAGGGACAGTGACTAGGCACTGAGTTCAAGCTCCAGGACTGGCAAAAAAGAAAAAAGAAAACAGAATCTTTACAGGTTGGTGGACCATGGGGTTGGTTGGAGATGCCACATGTCTAACCTACATCATGAGGTGCTGCGTTTTATTTCGTACTCCTTTTTTTGTTGTTTAGATAGCAGAGGCAGTTTTAACATCTCAACTGAAACCACGTGAAGAGAAACCAAATTTTGTCATTAAGGTACCAAAGGTAATGCCTTTTTACTACTTTGTTTTCTCAGAGTGCCATAGAAGATAGACATCTACTTTGCTTGTCTCTCTGACCCTTTTTAAATCAAATTAAAGATCTAAATACAGGAATAGGGGTGTGGCACAAGTGGTAGAGTCCTTGCTTACCTTACATGCGTAAGGCCCCAAGTTCAATCCCCAGTACCATAATACTATCTGTGGTCAGAATCATCTGAATTGAAAAAAGCTCCACTTTCATTTTTTAAAATTGATTTTTGAACTATAGATTATATGGGCTGGGAAGGTGGCTCAGTGGTAGAGCGCTTGCCTCACATGCATGACGCCCTGGGTTTGATTCCTCAGCACCACATAAGCAGTAAAGGCCGGAAGTGGTGCTATGGATCAAGCGGTAGAGCGCTTACCTTGAGCTGAAGAGCTCAGGGACAGCGCCCAGGCCCAGACTTCAGGCCCCAAGCCGGCAAAAAAACAAAAACAAAAACTATAGGTTATAAATTATAAGCATAGTTTATGTCTTTGTCTTAGATACTTATTTCATGTTTTGAAACTACTGACATTTTTGTTTTCCAGGGTACCAGGGATCTTAGTCCCCAGCAGATGGTTGTGAGGGAGAAAATTCTTGATACGGTTGTCAGCTGCTTTAAACGTCACGGGGCAAAAGGATTAGACACACCAGCATTTGAGCTAAAGGTAGGGAAAAGAATGCCCCTAATGGGGGCTGGGAAGGTGGCTCAGTGGTAGAGCGCTTGCCTTGCATGCTCAAGGCCCTGGGTTCAATTCCTCAGCACCACATAAGCAAAAAGAAACAAGGTGGAAGCGGCGCTGTGGCTCAAGTGGTAGAGCACTAGCCTTGAGCTGAGGGACAGGGCCCAGGCCCAGGGTTCAGGCCCCATGACCGGACCCAAAAAAAAAAAAAAAGAATGCGCATAATGGGCTGAGAAGGTGGTCTAGTGATAGAGTGCTTGCTTGCATGCATGAAGTCCTGGGTTCGATTCCTCAGCACCACATAAGCAGAAAAATTGGGAAGTGGCACTGTGGCTCAAGTGGTAAAGTGTTAGCCTTGAGCTGAAAAGCTGAGGGATAGTGCCCAGGCCAAGAGTCCAGTCCCTATGACTGACACACACACACACACACACACACTCACAAACTTCATTGCCTAATGTGCTTTCAGTGTCCCACAAAATTTCTTAGCTGTGGTCTATAGTTATCCTTTGAACCAGCGCCCTTTCTGTTTGACCCCTTTAGGATATGCTCACGGAGAAGTCTGAAGAGAATTTTGGGCTCATGTATGACCTGAAGGATCAAGGTGGAGAACTACTGTCCCTTCGCTATGACCTTACTGTATCCTTCTGAGTGCTGGAGTCTGACCTCTCTTTCCAGAGCTACAGAGAGTTCTGTAACAAAAGGGAGGAGAGTAACTGTGTGGAGGGATACTTCTATTGGCAATAACCTGTAGTTTTGCTCAGAAGGCAGTTTTGCTGTCTGAGCCTGTCTTGTCCTTCCTTCCTTCCTTCCTTCCTTCCTTCCTTCCTTCCTTCCTTCCTTCCTTCCTTCCTTCCTTCCTTCCTTCCTTTCTTCCTTCCTTCCTTCCTTCCTCCCTCCCTCCCTTCCTCCCTCTCTCCTCTCCCTCCCTCCTTCCCTCCTTTACTCCCTCCCTTCCTCTCTCTGGCTCTCTTTTTTTTTTTGTCATGGGGCTTGAACTCGGCTTGGGCACTGTCCCTGAGCTCTTCAGCTCAAGGCGAGTGCTCTACCGCTTAAGCCACAGTGCTACTTCTGGTTTTCTGGTGGTTTATTGGAGATGAGAGTCTCACAGAGCCGGGCCCTGGTGGCTCACGCCTGTAATTCTAGCTACTCAAGAGGCTGAGAACTGAGGATTGTGGTTCAAACCAGCCTGGGCAGGAAAGTTTGTGAGACTCTTATTTCCAATAAACCACTCAGAAAGCCAGAAGTGGCACAGTGGCTCAAGTGGTAGAAGCGCTAGCCTTGAGCAGAAGAGCTGAGGGACAGTGTTCAGGTCCAGAGTTCAAAACCCAGGACCAACAACAAAACAAAACAAAAAATAAAAGAGAGAGCCTTACAGATTTTCCTGCTTAGGCTGGCTTTGAACTACAATCCTCAGATCTCAGCCTCCTGAGTAGCTAGAATTATAGGCGTGAGCCACCAATGCCCAGCCAGTCTGTCTTCTCTCTTCCTTTTTTTTTTTTTTTTTTAACTTTTTGTTTTATTAGTGTATATTCATTGTACAAAGGGTTTCATTGTGATATATCCATGTATATAATATACTTTAATCAAATTGATCTCTTCTTATTATGCTCTTATCCTTTTTGCCACTTAATTTCAGTATTTCTCTGGGGGAAATCTGTAGAAACATGGACTGCTGGTTCAAACCCTAGTAATTTCTATTTTTTGTTGGTTGTGGGGCTTGAACTGTAGACCTGGGCACTGTCCCTCAGTTTTTGCTCAAGGCTAACACTCTACTGCAACACAGCTCCACTTCTGTTTTGGGTGTGTGTGTGTGTGTGTGTGTGTGTGTGTGTGTGTCTGTGTGTGTTTAATTGGAGGTAAGAATCTCAAGACTTGGGGGCTGGGAAGGTGGCTCAGTAGTAGAGTGCTTGCTTTGCATGCATGAGGGCCTGGGTTCGATTCCTCAGCACCACATAAGCAGAAAAAGCTGGAAGTGGCTGAAGAGCTGAGGGACAGCGCCCAGGCCGAGTTCAGACCCCACAACTGGACCCCTCAAAAAAAAAAAAAAAAAAGAATCTCAAGACTTTCCTATACAGGCTGGCTTTGAACTGCAGTCTTTAGATCACAGCCTCCTGAGTAGCTAGGATTACAGGCATAATCCAACCTTGCTGGCTCAAAAAAATTGCATTTTAAACACATATTCTGGGAGTTAAATGCATGGTCGCTGGCCTGTCCTTTTAGAAATATGGATTGAAATTATTGGCAAATTTAGAATCTGCAGTTTTAACTATTTTGAGATCATTGAGTATTGATATAACTGGGACCTGTATGGTCCCACACCTGTATTTCTTGGGTTGTTTTTTTCATCTGTTTTCTGTCTTTTCTGTTCAGCTTTCAGTTTTTTTTTTTTTTTTTGTCATTTTTTTTATTGTGAAAATACTGTACAGAGGGGTTACAATTACATGGGCAAGATAATGAGTACATTTCTTATCAAGCATTGTAGCCTCCTCCTTTGTTTCCCCTTCCCATCACTTCCCATCCTCCTTGTCCCATCAGCTTTCAGTTTTGCATATGATTGCTTCACTTGACACATACTGTCAAGCACTATATGCCATGAGTAGTAAGAAACAAGACAGAGAAGACCCTTATTCTTGTATAGCAAATCCCAATTTATAGAGGCCCAGTCTTCCCTAATGTCTTTATGGGTGGGCCTAAGCTTTGAATATATTATCTTTCTTCCTTAATCTATTTATGTGAGGTTCCTTTTGCTCGTTATCTGGCCATGAATAAACTGAAGAAGATGAAACGTTACCAAGTTGGAAAGGTGTGGCGCAGGGAGAGCCCTGCCATAGTCCAGGGTCGTTACAGGGAGTTCTGCCAGTGTGTAAGTGACCTTAAAGATACAGTATAATTTTGTAGTTAACCTGAGAATTGGCTGATCAGCGTTTTGTTTTATCCTGTACTTTTTTTTTACTGCAGGATTTTGATATTGCTGGTCAGTTTGACCCTATGATTCCAGATGCAGAGTGTTTGAAAATCATTTGTGAAATCCTTAGTGGATTGCAACTGGGGGACTTTCTCATTAAGGTGAGGTTAGGGCTGAAGATTGGGGAAGTCTAGACTTGATAAGATGCATGCTCTCTCTCTCTCTGGCTATCTGTCTCTGTCTCTCTGTCCTCCCCCCAACCCCCTCACTCTCACTGTGTGACACACACATTAATTTTCTTTTCCTATGCAATTTCCTTTCTGTTCCTTTCTGGTATAGCCTATGTCTTATGAGCTGGAAGACTAGGGACAGCCATTGCTTTGAGGGAAAGATTATTTGCCTTGAATTCACAAGTCAGTGACTAGGGATCATAGATGGGATGTTTACTGTGTGTGATGTTCCCAAAAGTAAGTTCCATAGGGCATTGACAGGGTACTTAAATTACTTGTCTTGGATTCACAAGGTCAATGACCGGCGGATTGTAGATGGGATGTTTGCTGTGTGTGGTGTTCCTGAAAGCAAGTTCCGTACCATCTGTGCCTCCATGGATAAACTAGACAAGGTAATGAAGCAAACGTACTTAAGCAGATCCTGTCTGGGTTTATCTCTTTGTTCCAAATTTATACCATAGAGATGAATAAGGAGGCAGTGACTAGAAGTGAATTGTTAGTGGGAGAAGGCCAGGAAATAAGTTATATAGGGATTGTGCCTGGATATCTTAAGCTGCCTTTGATTTTTCCAAGTGTGCTATTCTACTCATGGCATATTGAATGAAAATGAAATGTCATTTTCTAGTTAACTATAAGATTATAAGGCTGAACTAACATCTTGCTGTTTATACAGATGTCTTGGAAAGATGTGAGACACGAGATGGTTGTGAAGAAAGGCCTGGCTCCTGAGGTGGCTGATCGAATTGGGGACTATGTGCAATGTCATGGTAAGAACCAGAGTCCTTAAAACTGAGAACCAGGGGCTGGGAAGGTGGCTCAGTGGTAGAGCGCTTGCCTTGCATGCATGAGGCCCTGGGTTCGATTCCTCAGCACCACATAAGCAAAAAGAAAAAAGCTGGAAGTGGCTCTGTGGCTCAAGTGGTAGAGTGCTAGCCTTGAGCTGAAGAGCTGAGGGACAGCGCCCAGGCCCAGAGTTCAGGCCCACGACTGGACCCCCCAAAAAAAAAACAAAACAAAACTGAGAACCAGGCTGAGAGTGAAATTTGTTAAACTTCTAACTCAGAAATAGCTTTTCTCCATTGATGTGTTAAGAGTCTGGCCTGAACTTAATTTCTCTTTTACTTATAAATACATTGCATCTTTATATGGTAAAAGTAGAGGTGGAAGAGGAGGAGGGTCTGGTCATATGAGACCAGGATCACCATCATCTTTTTTTTTTTTTTTTTAAAGAGGAGGAAAAGCTAGAGCCTATTACATATAAGTTTGGATGAAATACTCAGGGCACTGAGGTCTGAATATCCCAGTTCATAGTCAGTCTGGGCAGGAAAGTTCGTGAGACCCTTATCTCCAGTTAACCACCAAATATAATCAGGAGTGGAGCTGTGGCTCAAGTGGCAGAGTACCAGCCTTGAGTAAAAAAGTTCCAGGACAGTTGGACAGTGCCTAAACCCCAATACAGGCGTGTGCACGCGCGCTCACACACACACATGTGGATGACTCACATCTGGGTAAATAGAATAGAGCTTATTTTTCTACACTTCTTTCCCTAGGTGGGATATCCCTACTAGAGGAAATGTTCCAGGATCCCCGACTATCACAAAGCAAGCAAGCCTTGGAGGGTCTGAGGGACCTGAAGCTGCTCTTTGAATATCTGACTTTATTTGGAATTGCTGAGAAGGTAAGTTTAGTTGGGTGTGGACTTCCTACTGAGCTCTAGCTCTCTTGAGTCTGGTCTGGGAGTGACTATAGTCTTGTTCCTACAGATCTCCTTTGACCTGAGTCTAGCCCGGGGCCTGGACTATTATACAGGAGTGATCTATGAAGCAGTACTGCTGAAGCCCGCAGCTCAAGCTGGAGTAGAGTCTTTGAATGTAGGCAGTGTGGCTGCTGGTGGGCGCTATGATGATCTGGTTGCCACGTTTGACCCCAAAGGCTACAAGGTGCCATGTGTTGGGTTGAGCATTGGAGTAGAGCGAATCTTCTACATTGTGGAGCAAAAGATGAAGGTATGTCCTAGTAGGCATGAGGTGTGTGTTTTATAATCTATTTCTGGAGGTGTGGTTGGGCTGTTTCTGGTTATTATTTTTTTTGTGAATTATCAATATAGAAGAAATTTTTAAAAATAGTTTTACTCCCCTCCCCCTCCCCCCGCCCCCGGTCTATCTTTAAATCAGATTTTGGGTGAGAAGGTACGGACCTCAGAAACCCAAGTGTTTGTGGCTACACCCCAAAAGAACTTTCTTCGAGAACGGTTAAAGATAATTGCAGAACTTTGGGATGCTGGAATCAAGGTATGGTAGTGCCTATGTCTGAACCATCTAGGTATATGTGAGATATATGAGCAAGTCATATATCTACCTTATGCTTAGGGTGGAACTCAAGACTATTTTAGGGGGGCTGGGAAGGTGGCTCAGTGGTAGAGCGCTTGCCTTGAATGCATGAGGCTCTGGGTTCAATTCCTCAGCACCGCATAAGCAAAAAGAAAAAAGCCGGAAGTGGTGCTGTGGCTCAAGTGGTAGAGTGCTAGCCTTGAGCTGAAGAGCTGAGGGACAGCGCCCAGGCCCAGAGTTCAGGCCCCAGGAACGGACTGTTCCCCCCCCCCCCAAAAAAAAAAAAAGACTTTTAGGCTATCACTAGAGGGTTAGCCACTTATTTTTTATTTCCTTAGACATACATGTTCTTAGGGCTTATGTGCTGTGGTCAGTCTAAATGCTTTGTTTTATCTTTTTCAGGCAGAGATGCTATATAAGGAGAACCCTAAACTATTAACCCAGTTGCACTATTGTGAGGACATGGGCATTCCACTGGTGGTCATTATTGGTGAGCAAGAACAAAAGGAAGGTACCCTCAAGCTCCGTTCAGTGGCCAGCAGAGAGGAGGTGAGTGGGAGCTGGCAGAAATAGTAGCCAAAAATCTTCCCAAAATTAATTATATGAGAGTGGCTTGCTATGCAGCTGAGGCTGGCTTGGAACCTATTATTGTAGCGCAGGCTGTTATTGAACTTGAAATCTTCTGCCTCAGCCTTTTGAGTCCTGGAGTTCAGGTTCTCAAGGTGGGTGCCAACACACACAGCTCCCACATTATTTAAGAAATTAGATCTTGCTGGGCACTGGTGGCTCACACCTGTAATCATAGCTACTCAGGAGGCTGAGATCTGAGGATTGCAGTTCAAAGCCAGCTTGGGCAGGAAAGACTGTGAGACTCCTATCTCCAATAAATCACCAGGAAACCGGAAGAGGTGCTGTAGCTGAAGTGGTAGAGCGCTTGCCTTGAGCTGAAGAGCTGAGAGACAGTGCCCAGGCCCAGAATTCAAGCCCCATGACTGACCAAAAAAATCAGATCTTTTGGCTGAAGAAGTATCTCTGGGCTTAATAGTAATATAAACAAAGACCTGTCTTAAGTTACCACTAACCATTATAACTAGTGAGCATTTGCTGTGGGAGCAGGATGAACAAATGATGTGGTATTTTTTAGACTAGTCAACAAAAGAAACAGATCATTGTTTGAATTCTCTAGTCTTGAAAATATATATTCTCCAGGTCAGCTTGAAGCCCACTCCCCAACTTACTGGTTGTATAAATAGTGAAAATGGATGCAAAATGAAATGAATCTGGAAAAACATTGGCTGAGCAGCCAGTATCATTTTGGAGTTTGTCACATGAGAATTCTCTTATGTTTCAGGTGGCCATTAAACGGGAAAATCTTGTGGCTGAAATTCAGAAGCAACTGTCTCTGTCTTGATTGCTTGATTGCCATCTGCTGCCTTTTGTAGAAAAGTTTTCATATAGGATTGAGTTCCTGGTGGACTTTAACAGCTGGCCAGCATGAGTGACAAGTGCCTTCTGTGTCCTCTGTCTTTCCCGGATAAAGAATGACAGAAGGCTTGAGGACTTGAGAGCTAGTATAAGCAGCTACTCTGCATGGAAGCAGATGGCTGGTATGTGAAAAAGACACATTCCAACTGCAAACGCAAATTTGAAATGCTGTAAAATGCTGTCAAGAGGTGCTGAGGTGGTTAATATGAGCAAGGCTCACATCAGGCTGAAGATCCTGTACCTATGATATCAGAAGCCAGATATTTAGCTTTTTACTGTAGCTTCTGAAAAATTTGCCTACATCCAGCCCTTGGCCTGTCCATGGAATTTTGGAAAGATAGAAAGGATGAATAGTATCTGTTTTTTGCTTTGAAGATAGAGATGCTATCGTAAGAGCATGGCAGTGCCTATTTTGATCCCATCTACTGGTAACCGCAGTGGGGCTATCTTTCTTTTCTTTTTTTTGCGGGGGGGGGGGTCGGTCTGGTCGTGGGGCCTGAACTCTGGCCCTGGGCACTGTCCCTCAGCTCTTCAGCTCAAGGCTAGCGCTCTACCACTTGAGCCATAGCACCACTTCCAGCTTTTTTTTCTTTTTGCTTATGTGGTGCTGGGGAATGGAACCCAGGGCCTCAGGCATGCAAGGCAAGTGCTCTACCGCTGAGCCACCTTCCCAGCCCCATATCTCTATTTTCTTGAATGTTGAACTTAGTAACTTACTTGACAAGATGAAGATCTGATCTGCCCATTCTCTGTGCCAGAATCAGTACTCTGATTATTCCTATCTGTCATGAAGGTTGTTCTAGAAGTGTTTTGATAACATGTGAAATAAAATATTAAGGGAAGTAGTTGAGTAATTTGTTACTAAGGAACTTATTTGCATAGTCCATATAAAATCCTTGAGAGGACACAGTCCTGACTTATGTGTCTTTTTTTTGGTGCCAGTACTGGGGCTTGAACTCTGGGTCTGGGCACTTTCCCTTAGCTTTTTTGCTCAGGGCTGGTGCTTATCACTAGAGCCACAGCTCCACTTATGGCTTTTTTTGTGTGTGGTTAATTGAAGATAAGAGTTTCACAGACTGGTTTTTTTGTTTGTTTTTTTTCAGGTAAGGGGTAGGTTTATTCAGTACACCTGCTGGGACCAGGCAAGGTTGGCACTCCACGTGGCTGGGAAAGGCCTGGAGAGAGCTGGGAAAGAGAGAGGAAAGAGCTAGAAAAGAGCAGAGGTGGTGTCTAGGCCTGGGCTAGGCCTTATCTAGGGTATGGGCGGAGAAAGGTGTAGCAACATCAAATTCAGATGTGACCTCAGAGGATGCAGATGTGACCTCTTCCAGGTGTCCCAGTTGCCTAGGTAACGCAGGTACTGGGTGGAGACTTTGCTGCGAGGAGGGTGGAGTCTGCTAGCCATCCTGGAGTGGACCTTACATTCCAGCCTTTTAATAATCATGAAATAGGGTGAGGATTCTCTCTGGCTACTTCCAGCTGACAAGGGGAGTCGACAATAGGGGTAAAAGGCTGGAATTTGGTCCCCTCCCTGAGAAGGCAGTGAGCAGCAGCTGTCCCTTGGTGGCAAGAGTCCTTAGATGAAGTCTGGAGAAGTCTCATGAGCATTGAGGGGCTGGAAAAAAAAATACTAGAGAGCAAATAAATGGCAAGAGGAAGGACTTGGGGCTGAAAATGTTGGTAGAAATGTCCCTAGCTACTTTTCACAGACTGTTCTTTGGGCTGGCTTCAAACCATGATCCTTAGATTTCAGTCTCCTGAGTAACTAGGATTACAAGCATGAGCCATTGGCACCTGGAATCGGAAACTTTTGTATTTGGTGCAGGAAACTGCCACAGTTTCTCCTTTTTTTTTTTTTTGTCTCCCACTGAACTTAAAGACATATAGCTAAACATATTGAGCCATTTGCCAGAATGCTTTATTTATATCTTATGGTGATGCCGATGACCTGCCTTCCCAAGTCTAATATTGTGATTAAATAACAGATCAAAGAATTAATGTTCCCCAGTTGAAGAAAAGTTTGATTTAACCAAATGGTGGTGGTCCCAAGCTGGGTGCCAGTGGCTCATGTTTGTAGTCCTAGCTACTGACAAAACAGATGTGAGGATCTAGGTTCCAAGCCTGCCTGGAAAGTCCTTGAGACTTTAATTGGGGGGGAGGGAGGGTAGGGAAGGAAAATGCTCTGGAGCTTGGGTTCCAGCGGTTTGAGCACTAACCTTGAGCAAATAAACTCAGGCAAACAAACTCAAGCCCCAGGGCTGCACACAGGATCCCAAGTTCAAAAAGTGCTTTTCTTCCGTGCCTTTGTAAACACTGGTGTAGTTAGGGCTTTACCCCTCTAGTGTGCGCTGGTAAAAGGGACAATTAGAATCCATAAATAGCGCTTCAAAAGAAGGCTTAGTGTTGGGAGCCAAAAGTTAAGTCTCTCAAACATAATAGGCTTAACTATCTCACTGGAACCACCTGAGGCTGAGTTTACAGAATCCCACCTTTTCACCACCCCCTAAGTAAACACCCTGCAGCTACTAAAGACCACCTTTTCACCACACCCTAAGTCCAAGCATATAAATACCCTTGTGTGAAAAATAAAAATTGGCAGCTTGATCAGAATCCTTGTCTTGCTGTCCTTCTTCGTGTCTCTTGTCCCTTCATGTCCTGGTGCCCAACGTGGGGCACGAGCCTCTGACTGAGGAAGGAACTCAGTCCTCCGGGAAAAGTTGGCCAAGTACCGAGATCGTCTCGACAGACTCTGCCGAGAGACACATCCAGGAGGAGAGTGGGCACAGCGCATGGTAAGTGACCCACTATGGGACAAGCAATATCGTCACATGATCTATTTCTGTCAGACCTTCATTCCTTCTCGCTTAGGTTCATTGCCCTGGTTGAAGTCCTGCGGGTCAGGACAGCTTAGAAACTTTTGGTAACGCTCGCAAAGTTAATTAGATAAGAGGGCACTGTTCCCTAGCGTGGCTATGGAAGTTCTGAAGTGGTTTTTGATGGAAACCAATCCATCCAGGTTTGTTTTGAAAAGCATGGGGGGGGGGGGGGGGAACATTTGCATGAGCCCTTACTTCCGTGTTGCTTCACATACCCAGCGCGCCTGCGCGGTCTCCTTGGAGCAGAGGCGGGGCCAAGGAGGTTGTATTAGAATTTCTCTAATCTTATTGGAAGGATAACGTACCTTACGGCAGCAAGTCTCTTTTTGCGATATTTTACGGCTTCCCATTCACTCCTATGCGAAGATGGCGTCCGGCAGCGGGGTAGGTGTTGTGTGCGAGTAGGTTTGCGGGGTGAGGGTTCCCTTTTTAGTGCTGAATAAGGACAAACTCGGACATCTGACTGCCTGACATTTCTTTGTGATCCTGGGGTCCGGGTTGAGAACTGCCGCCAGGCTCTGGCGCGGGGACAGTGGGATTGCGGAGGTCTTTGGGGTTGGGGTCCAGAGGTTCGCCTTTGCCTCTGGATGAGGTCCCCAGAGATTGAGCTTCCGAAAAGTCGTGGGGTCGCCTTAGTGGCGAGGTGGAGGCTCTTTTCATCTTTTTCGGGGTCCGGATACGGGTAGCGATGGATTTTGAGCACTTTTTCCCCTCTACAGACAAAAAACTTGGACTTTCGCCGAAAGTGGGACAAAGATGAATACGAGAAACTCGCTGAGAAGAGACTCACGGAAGAGAGAGAAAAGAAGGATGGTGGGTGCTCGCCTCATCTTGGGCTCAAGGGTGCTTAGAGGCGATGCAGTGAGTGGCTTGAGATTGGGGAGGGAGGTGATGGGCGCTGCGCTCTTAATTCGGGCATTGTTGCTTCCCTGATTCTAGGTGTCTGCGAAAAGTGAGAACGAGGTGGTGGACTAATGTGGTTTTGAGGTGCTCTAAGACTCTGTCTTCCTCCCCTGCTTGGCTCATTTAGTGCTTTCCTGAAGTGTTGTGCTACTGAGGTCCCCCCATCCCCCGGTTCTGGGGCTTGAACTCGGGGCCTGGGGGCTGTTCTTTAGCTTTCAGCTTGGCGTTCCATCACTTGAGCCACAGCTTTACTTCTGGCTTTTTGCTGGTTAATTAGAAGTAGGAATCTCATTAACTTTCCTACCTCATTGACTTCAAACTTTCCTCAGATCTCAGCCTTCTGAGTGGTTGTGATTACCCACCAGGGCCCAGGCTTGTCCCTTGAATTGTGTGTTATGATAGGGTATCTGACTGCAAGCCTTAATTAAGCATCCTTACTCTTTTTTTAAAAAAAAACATATATTATTTTAAAGATACTGTACAGAGAGGGGTTATAATTACATGATTAAGGTAATGAGTACATTTCTGATCAAGCATTGATGGAAAGTTCGTTTTCAGTATCCTTACTCTTCTTGAAAGGATTGCTTCTAGTGAAAATTCAGAATTCCTTCTCCTCAGTTCAGTTAGTGAGTAGAGAACTTACTGCTTTTAAGTTTGGTTACTTTAGAGAAAAAACTGTAGAAAGTTAGGGATTCCTTACCATTTCTCTTTTCACATTCTTCCTAGCTACTGCTATATGCTGATGTACCTGCTGTGGTCCAGAATGAAAGAATGAGTGAGGGTTGTCCTCTGAATTTGGGGGTTCATGTATTTTCACTTTTGTCTGAAGAACTAATATATTGAGGAGCTTTCTTCCCCACTGTTTCAGGAAAACCAGTGCAGCCAGTCAAGCGGGAGCTTTTGCGACACAGAGACTATAAAGTGGACTTGGAATCCAAGCTTGGGAAGACAATTGTCATTACCAAGACAACCCCACAGTCTGAGATGGGAGGGTGAGTAGCATCTTCTGAAGCCAAAAGTGCGCCTAATAATTAACCCTATAGTTTGTTTTAGGAAGTGGTGAGGTAGGGCCTTTGCCCTAGGCTATCCATCTTGGTGCTTATAATTTTATCCCTAGACTTGTCTTTATTTGGCTTCCCAAGTCCCAAATTAATACTGTAGTATTTCTAGGAGTGGTCATACTGTAGGCTTCTTCCTATTAGCACTGTAACTTCTTTATATCTTCAAAGGGATTATTTTATTTGTTCCATGAGAAGAAATGAAGGAATTACTGAGATATCTCTAGGGAATAAGTTGGTTGGCATTGGATTGTATCCAAGGAGTTGTTCATGGTGAAAAAAGAGGGCTGAGGTCCTAGACTAGTAAAGGCTGTAGTTGTTATGTATTATTGTTATGGAAAGTGCCTGGTTATGTACCTTCTTCCCAAACCATAATTATATAGGAGCTTATCACCCTTTTCCTATCATTCCTGTCTAGTTATGATTTCCAGTAGGAGGGCAACACAGGTAGCAATGAAGTGACACTTCTTGGATCTGTTTAGTAAACCCAGTATAGTTATTCCTGTATGTTATCCTTTGTTTTGTACATTTGTAAATTACCTAACAGTTTAGCAGCATAAAATAACAACTGTAACTTCTGTGAGCAAAGACTCTGGAAGTAGCTTACAAAGTGATTCTATCTCAGGATCTTTTTTTGTTTTTTGGTGCTGGTCCTGGGGCTTGAACTCAGGGCCTGGATCCCTTTTTATTTAAGACTAGCACTCTATCACTTGAACCACAGCTCCACTTCTGGCTTTTGAGTGATTAATAGGAGCTAAGAGTCTCACAGACTTTCCTGCCTGAGCTGGCTTTGAATGATGATCCTCAAATCTCAGCCTCCTGAGAAGCTAGGATGACAGGTATCATAATTACTTTTGACATATTCTCTTTGTCACATATTGCTTTGATACAGATTGGGAGGAGGCTTCATAGGGTGGGAATAATGGGAGAGTGAGGCTATCATTGGCTCTCCTAGGAATGAAGGGTTTATGAAACTGAAGCCTTAAAACCTTACCATAAAGTTTTGTTTCTTGGTTGAAACCAATGAAGTTCTTAAAACTAGATTTGATTTGTGTATTGTTTTTTCTTTTCTGTCAGATATTACTGCAATGTTTGTGACTGTGTGGTGAAAGATTCCATCAACTTCCTGGATCATATTAATGGAAAGAAACGTAAGGCTTGGAGGTAGTTTGTGGCCAAGATTGGGACTGAGTTTTGGGTTTTGGAGGTGGGAGAGGAGGAAAAAGTTTTTCTCTGGGGTGTGTGTGTGTGAGAGAGAGGGAGAGAGAGAGAGAGTGTGTGTGTGTGTGTGTGTGTGTGTATGAAAGAGTAGTGAGTGAGTATGGGCACGCACACTGGTCCTTAGGCTTGAAGTCAAGGTCTGGGTGCCATCTGTGAGCTTTTTTGCTCAATGTTACCTGCTAGAACCACCGCTCCATTTTTGGCTTTTGGGGGATTAATTGGAGATAAGTGTCTCCCAGACTTTCCTACCTGGGCTGGGCTTCAAATCTTAATCCTCATATCTCAACCTTCTGAGTAGCTAGGATTACAGGTGTGAGCCATTAGCACCTGGCTTCAGAGCTGCTTTTATTTTATTTATTTATTCATTTATTTATTTATATTTTTGGTGCTGGTCCTGGGGCTTGAACTTCACCTGAGGTGCTGTCCCTGAGCTCTTGTGCTAAAGGCTAGTGCTCTGCCATTTGAGCCAGAGCTCTATTTTCAAGCTTTTTGGTGGTTAATTGAAGATCAGAGTCTGATGCATTTTTCTGCCTGGCCTGCCTTTGAACTACAGTCCTCTGATCTAGCCTTCTGAAGCAGGTAGGCTTACAGGCATGAGCCACCAGTGCCAGATTCGCTGGTCCTTTTTGATGATTAACTCTCCAGTTGCTTTAGTGCAGGTTATCTTTGCCTCATTATCTAATACTTTTGGAAGCCTTGAGGCTATGCTCTTCTAGGTTCTCAACAAACTGAAACCATGATTTTCTAGCATTGCCTTATTGGTGCTCATCTGTTCAGTTAAGGGCACTTGAAAGCCACCTGTGTCTTGGTGAACAGGTGAGGTCAAACTATTTTTGCCATTAATTTTTGCTGTGTTTTATATGAAGAGGTGTTTGCTTTTGTTTTTTGTTTTTCAAAAAGCTAGAAGTAAACTTTTTCAGAGACTGGAGATATTGTTATAACTTTGCCTTACTATTGACCTCACCCAGATCAACGGAACCTGGGCATGTCTATGCGTGTGGAACGTTCTACTCTGGATCAGGTGAAGAAACGCTTTGAGGTCAATAAGAAGAAGATGGAAGAGAAGCAGAAGGATTATGATTTTGAGGAAAGAATGAAGGAACTCAGAGAAGAGGTAAGGCTCTCTTATCTCCCTTCCCCCACCTTTTATTTTATCTTGGGAAGTATGGGATATAACTTTTTCATCCCACACTTCTTACCTTACTCCAAGTGATATCCTGAATTTTCGTTATACTAGGGAAAAACTTCTTTTTTTTGTTGGTTTTCGGGCCTGAACTCTAGGTCTGGGCACTGCCCCTGAGCTCTTCAGCTCAAGGCTAGTGTTCTACCACTTGAGCCACAGCCCCACTTTCAGCTTTTTCTGCGTATATGGTGCTGAGGAATCGAACCCAGGGCCTCATGCATGCAAGGCAAACACTCTATCACTAAGCCACCTTCTCATCCCCCGGGGCAAACTTTTTTTGGGGGGGTGAGGGGGGGTCGGTCAGGGGCTTGAACTCAGCCTGAGCTCTTCAGCTCAAGGCATTCTACCACTTGAGCCACAGTGCCACTTCTAGTTTTCTGGTGGTTTATTGGAGATCAGAGTCTCACGGACTTTCCTGCCCGGGCTGGCTTTGAACCACAATCCTCAGATCTCAGCCTCCTTAGTAGCTAGGATTACAGGCCACGAGTGCCTGGCCCCTGGGGAAAACTTTTTTTTTTTTTTTTGGGGTCCGGTTGTGGGGCCTGAACTCTGGGCCTGACCGCTGTCCCTCAGCTCTTCAGCTCAAGGCTAGTGCTCTACCACTTGAGCCACAGTGCCACTTCCGGCTTTTTTTCTTTTTGCTTATGTGGTGCTGAGGAATCGAACCCAGGGCCTCAGGCATGCAAGGCAAGCGCTCTACCACTGAGCCAACTTCCCAGCCCTGGGGGAAACTTTTTCCTTTGAGACTCATGGCTTTAAACCTAGCTTTTCTTTCTTACTCATGGCTTTAAACCTAGCTTTTCTTTTTTTCCTAGGTCATTAGGGCTATATATATAACTACAGGAGAGATTAACTAAACGTACTTAACCCTCAAGTGGCCTTGTGAGTCCAGGCTGATAGGGTTACTTACTGGCTATGAATTTTTTTTTTGGTTGGTTTTGGGACTTGAACCTCTGGGCCTGGTTGCTGTCCCTCAGCTCTTCAGCTCAAAGCTAATGCTCTACCACTTGAGCCACAGCCCGCCACTTCCAGTTTTCTAGTGGCTAATTGGAGATAAGAGCTTCATGGACTTTCTTGCCCGGGCTGGCTTTGAACCATGATCCTCAGATGTCAGCCTCCTCAGTAGCTAGGATTACAGGTGTGAGCCGCCAGTGCCCCGCCTGACTATGAATCGTGAGCAAGTTACTTAACCCTTCTATGTCTCAGTCTCTCCATATTATAGATCGTAGTGTGATATACATAAAGTACTCACAAGAGTTCCTGGCATGTACTCCATGTTCCACAATGTAATATAGTTTTGTTCCTATAAGCCTTTTAAAAACTAGAGTTAAACTGAGAATACTAAGCTAAAGCTTCCTTGTCTGTTGTTGTTTGCCAGTCCTAGGGTTTGAACTCAAGGCTTAGGCACTGCCCTTGAGCCTCTTTGTGCTCAAGGCTAGCTCTCTACCACTTGGGCTCAATTCCACTTCTGGCTTTTTCTCTAATTTATTAGAGACAAGAGTCTCATACACTGCACAGTCGTGTCAAACTGTGAGCCTCAGATCTCAGCCTTCTGAGGAGCTAGGATTAGCTTGTCCCTTACTTAATTTTATTTATCTATTCATTTATTTATTAATTATGACACTCGGATTGATCCTAGGGTCTTCCACATGCTAGGCAAATAAGTTCTCTACCACTGATTTTGAGATTTTACTGCTTTTGAGATTTTACTTTCTTCTAAGTATAGGAATTTCAAAGCTCAATATCGCTTTCAAAAACATCTATACTGATTCTGAGTGATTCTTCCTCATTCCCACTTCCAGGAAGAAAAGGCTAAAGCATACAAGAAAGAGAAGCAGAAGGAGAAGAAAAGGAGAGCGGAGGAGGACTTGACATTTGAGGAGGATGATGAGATGGCAGCTGTGATGGGCTTCTCTGGCTTTGGTTCCACCAAGAAGAGTTACTGAGCCTTTCTGTGACGGGCCTAATTTTGGCCTATGCTGGACCTAACTGTGTGTGTGTATGTTAGGGGGTGGGGTCATTCCTTTTGGATACTGGGGAAAGTCCTTTAGAGTGTTAATGGCAGGACTAGAGGGTGGGTGTTTGTGGTTTCCCTATACCTTAGGGGAGGGCACAGGATACAGAGGTAATGCTGCTGTGCATTCCTTGTTAGTTTGTCACCGGAGTTACAAGACCTCTTCCCATCTGAGTTCCTGATAAATGAAGACATCTCCATCAGAGGCTGCTCTCCAGAAACTTCCCCTGCATCTTTCCCTCTTCATCTATCCAACCTCTTGTCTGAGCATCCCAGTTTTTTGCTATGTTCTGCCTTTGTTTAAATTTTAACTCTTGTTAGCCTGTAACAGAAGGGATCTGATCAGATCCTCCTTTTGCCATTCTTCTCTATGGTTCTTTGCCACCTGTGCATGCATGTGTACTTCTGCCTGGGTCAGTGGTGTGTGTGGATATGTGTGCATGAATTTGTCACAAAGAGGGGGCCTGAGCTGGAATCTCAGAGCATTGCTGCCCTGGGGCCTGATGTTCTTGGTTTCCTCAGCGCATGTAACAGGCAATTAAATGGGATGAGTGGTGTGGTTTGTGTCTGGTAAGTTTTTTAACATTGTTCTTTTGATGTGGGCTGTTTCAGCTTTTCCTGTTTGTTTAACTTTACTGAGGATTTTTCTGTTTTGTCTTCCTTGTGAGCAGGCTCTTGGAAGACCTGTTTGATGCAAAGGAAGAAAAAAAAAAAAAGAAATGAAACAACAAAACAATATAACCCCTCCCCCCCCAAAAAAACCCCAACCAACCAAACAAGCTTGCTATGGGAATCCTTGGGTCTCAGAGGCTATACAACATAATAAATGACAGACTGGGCCTGTTTTACATTTGATGGGAACATTCCATATTCTTTCCTGTGTGTGTGTGTGTGTCCCTCCCACACTGAGAATTTACATACATGCAAATTCTGACATTCCCTCCCCCTTTTTTTTTTTTGGTGCTGGTACTGGGGCTTGAGCTCCAGGCCTTGCATTCTCGTGGGGTTTTTTTGTTTTGTTTTTGTTTTTTATGGATGTTGCTGTGCCACTGAGTCACATCTCCACTTCCAGCTTTTTACTGGAGTAACTAGTGACAAGAGTCTTGGGGATTAGGGGCTGGAGGGGAAGTTCACTTGGTAGAGTACCAGCTAGAGAAAGCAGCAGGTATCTAGTTTGAGTCCTGGTGTCCGGCCTTAAAAAAACGGGATGTCTGCCTGGGCTGGCTTTGAATTATAATTCCTAGATCTCTACCTCTTGAGTGGTTAGTTATAGGCATGTTTATAGGGCCTAGACAAAACTATTGAGCTTTTTTTTAGGGGGGGGTTCCCAGTCGTGGGGCCTGAACTCTGGGCCTGGGCACTGTCCTGTCCCTCAGCTCTTCAGCTCAAGGCTAGCGCTCTACCACTTGAGCCACAGCGCCACTTCCGGCTTTTTTCTTTTTTCTTATGTGGTGCTGAGGAATCGAACCCAGGGCCTCATGCATTCAAGGCAAGCGCTCTACCACTGAGCTACCTTCCCAGCCCCAGCTATTGAGCTTTCTATAATTTCAGGCTCCTTTGATCCTGAGCAGCAAAGCTTAGGGTTGAACTGGGTGTTTTGCTTTCTGCAATTTGCGTTTGCAGAAATTTTTTTTAATGTTTTTTCTTAGTGTTTAAGGTTTTTGAAGTCTTTATTGTAGGCAGGGCCCATTCTATACACTGTAGGATGTTTAGCAACTTCCCTGATCTACCCACACAATAGCACCCTTTCCTCCGATTTGTGACAACTAACAATGTCTTCCACAGATAACCACTGCCATCTCTGCTATGTTCTGACTTGATTAGATGGCACAGAGTGACTGTTAAACTCAAGCTGGGCGCTGGTGGCTCACACCTGTAATCCTAGCTACTTAGGAGGCTGAGATCTGAGGATTGCGGTTCAAAGCCAGCCAGGGCAGAAAAGTCGGTGAGACTCTTATTGCCAATAAACCACTCAGAAAACGGAAGGGGCAAAGTGGCTCAAGTGGTAGAGCGCTAGCCTTGAGCTGAAGCGCTGAGGGACAGCACCCAGGCCCAGAATTCAAGCCCCACAACTGACCAAGAAAAAAAAAAAAGCAAAACACTGCTTTCTCCTGGATGAGAAGGAAGAAGAAAAAGCCCTATATCAACAAGAATAGTAGTAACTTAAGCCTCAGATAACTTAGGAAATCCCCTTTGCTGCCTCTGTACTCTTGAGTAAAGAGATCCATTTGGATTAACAGATGGTCAGTATGTGGGTTTTCTTTCTCTGGCTCATATTCTCTCTCTGGTTTTGTGGTCAGTTGGAGATAGAGTCTCATGGACTTCACTGCCGGGGCTGGCTTTGCACTTTGATCCTCAGATCTCAACGTCCTGAGTAGCTAGGATTAGAGGTGTGAGCCATTGGTACTCATACACCTTTCCATAGCATCTCAAGTTGTGTGGGTCTTGCTAAGGAACTTATTTGATCCCCAGCACCAAAGGTAAGGTGGTGTAGTGGTTCATGCCTGTACCAAGCGCCTGAGTAGCTGAGGCAGGAAAGCCTGAGTTTTAGGCCAGCTTGGGATGTATATTGAGATCATATACTCCTTTATGTGTACGCAGATTACAAGGATGTTTACCATAGGTTTATAATGGTGAACCATTTGAAACTAGAACATTTGTACTTGAGTAAAATGCAGTAATTAATATATAGGTGACTCAGACCTATATGTACTGACAGGAAAAGCTTCCTGAGACAGGTAAATAAAATGAATATGCAACATTTCCTGTAAGTCAGAAATTTAACTGTTCTATGTATGGCTACATTAGCAGGTATAAGAAAATGTGAACAAAAATCTAACTTGAAAGGATCTACCTTTCCCTGAGAAATTTAGTAGGAGTTTCTAGGAAAGCTGTTTATATCACGTGCAAAAAGAATAGGTGTTTTTGCGTGTTTGTTAGAAGGCTAGAAATGCGTGTCACCTGGGAGAGGGACTGTGGGTTCCAAGACAAGTCTTGAAATACCTATAAAGCTTCACTTAGCAGGGAATCAGACACTGACAATAAAACAAGTACAGTGACCTCGTGTGGTGGTTGGGAGAGCGCGGAGGTCGCCGGGGTAGGGGCACCCAGAGAGTCGGTGTGTAGCAGAGGATTAGAGGATCTGCCAGAACCCTACAGCGTCGGGCACACCTCCAGAGTCAGGAAGTGGAAGCGGATAGGACAGTTCCTGGTGATTCATGTTACGTCATGACGTAGCTTCCCCTCATAGTCAAGAGCATATAATCAGAAGGTGTGTTCCGGGCTGGCTTTAGCTCAGCGGTTACTTCGACGAGCAATCTCCACAATCAACACGCGCAGCTTTCAGCTGTGCAGTTGGTTCGAAACCCGCGGGCGCTTTCCAGCCCTTTTGCTGCGGTCCCGGGCCAGACTGTCTTTATTTTCCTTCTTAGAAAGTTTTGGGATCCTTCCTTTGTCTGGAGCTCACAGAAAGCTCTTCTGTCAAAAGTTCAGCTCCCTTAAATCACAGTAAAAGGAACCAAAGCTTCAGGGAGAAGCCTGGGATTACAGGACTGGAGAAAGACAGAAACGAACCTGCGACATCGTCTAGTGCCAAAAAGGGAAATGAGACTTTCTAAATCACCTTTCGTGTCTGCTTTGTATTCCAACAGTTATCTATTGTATGGTTGTAACTTTTGTAATGTCGCTTAACCTGAGGCTCATAGGATTATTATTATTATTTTGGGCCCATTCTCTTGTTTGGGGACTGTATACAGTTGGTCTCTCCCTCCCTCCCTCTCCCTTTCCCTCTCTCTCCACCTTCTGTCTCCCCCCTCCCACCTCATTTCCCTCCCCTCCCCTTCTCCCTCTCTCCCTTTTTCTGTCTATTGTCTTGCACTGGTACTGGGGCTTGAATGCAGAGCTCCCTGTTCTTACTAGCTTTTCCTGTCAAGGTTGCAACTCTACCACTTGAGCGGCTCCTCCCCTCTGGCTTTTTGCTGTTTAGTTGGAGATAAGAATCTCATGGAGTTTCTGGCTTTGAATCTTGATCATCAGATCTCAACCTCCTGAGTAGCTTACAAACCGCAAGCGCCCAAAACATGTTGAATTTTCTTTGTGCTGTTTATGCCATTTTCTGGCTGATTCTAATTACTGATTTATCTTATTAGCTATTTGAATCCTCTCTTCAATACTAGTTACTATACTTTAAACATTACCCTTTAGTGTGTGTGTGTGTGTGTGTGTAGTTGAGCCCAGGACCACCTTGCTTTTTGGACAAGTGCCTACCACGTGAGTCATACCCACATGCCCCTTGGGATATCTAATTTAGCTGCCACTTTTTTTCCCCTAAATGATTCTTTTCCTTCAGTTTTGATTTAAAACATTATTAAGAAACAAAACAAGCTGGGCATCAGAGGCTCTCGCCTATAATCCTAGCTACTCAGGAGGCTGAGATCTGCAGTTCAAAGTCAGCCCAGGCAGGAAAGGCCTAGAGACTTTTTTTTTTGGTCGGTCGTGGGGCTTGAACTCTGGGCCTGGGCGCTGTCCCTGCGCTCTTCAGCTCAAGGTGAGTGCTCTACCACTTGATCCACAGCACCACTTCCGGTTTTCTAGTGGTTTATTGGAGATAAGAGTCTCATAGACTTTTCTGCCCGGGATGGCTTTGAACCGAGATCCTCAGATCTCAGCCTCCTCAGTAGCTAGGATTATAGGCGTGAGACACCGGCGCGCCCGGCGCGCCTGGCCCGAGAGACTCTTATTTCCTATTAACCACCAGAAAACTGGAAGTGGCACTGTGGTTCAAATGGTAGAATGCTAGCCTTGAACAAAAGAAGTTCATGGACAGTGCCCAGGTCCTTAGTTCCAGTCCCAGGATTGGCACTTTATATATATATAGTAAAGATGATATACAGAGAGAGAGGTTACACTTACATAAGTCAGGTAATGAGTACATTTCTTTTTGGGCAATATCATCCTTTCCCTCTGTTTCCCAGTTTTTCACTCCTGTCCCTACCCACTTTATCTATGTATCTATGTATCAGCTCTTCAGCTCAAGGAGAGTATTCCATCACTTAAACCACAGCGCCACTTCTGGTTTTCTGAGTAGTTTATTGGAGATAAGAGTCTCACAGAGTTTCCTGCCCGAACTGGCTTTGAACTGCAATCTTCAGATCTCAGCCTCCTGAGTAGCTAGGATTACAAGCGCAAGCCACCAATGCCTGACTACATGAATTTTTGATTGCATTTTCTCCCCCTTACCCTTCATTCATCTACCACTCTGTCCTCGGCACCACTTCCTCTCTTGCAAGTACTCATTTCCTGGTGCTTATTTTGTTGGGATTTGTCTTTCTAAAAAGTTACATTATTTGAACTTTCCATAGAAGTCTATCTTGACCAATTCTGCTCTTACTCTTGTGGTATAAATATTAAAGATATAATATTTGATTTAGGTACTTAGGCCCTGTAAAAATTAAAAATCTCTGCTTATCAATAATGATTTTGTAACTTTGTTTTTGTGGTTATAAAATTCAACTGTAATTCTGCTTCTGCTCCTAACTGAATGCGTCACTCCCATCTTTTGTTCTATTCCTCAAGGTTCCTGTCAACAGTCCCTAGCAGAAGGCCCTGGTGGACATTGTATACACTTCTGGAGTGGCCATTGGCCAAAATGGACAAAGAGCCCAACTGCTCAAGCTTTAGCCCTCCGCTCCTCTCCTTTCCGGTCAAAAATGCTTAAAAGCTGACACTCAGCCATGCCCTGAGATCCCGGCCCTGGGCATAGTCCTGACAGTCAGCGCTTTGTTCTTTTGTTCAAATAAAATTTTGTTTAAACCACAACTCACCAGTGGCTTTTGGGTCCTACTGTCTATTGATTCCTGAACAATACAATACTCTTTGTTCTTTGTGAATTTTCTGAGTTAATTTTTGGTGCAGTGTTTCACAGTGGGTTTTTTCTTTCATGTCATTAGGTGAATAAGATTATTTTAATTTACAGTGGAATTTTTTTGTTGTTTTAGGATTTTTGTTTGTTTGTTTTGGTCAGCTGTGTGGCTTGAACTCAGGGCTTGGGTGCTGTTCCTGGGCTCTTTTGTTCAAGGCTATTGCTCTACCACTTTAAGCCACAGTGCCACTTCCAGTTTTCTGGTGGTTAATTGGACATAAGAGTATTACAGACTTTCTTCTTCTGGCTGTCTTTGAACCACAATTCTCAGATCTCAGCCTCCTGAATAGCTAGGATTACAGGCTTGAGCCATCCACACCCAGTGCCCAGCACATGAGCCACAGCAACATTTCCAGCTCTTAAGAGGTTAATTGGAGATAAGAGACCCAGACTTTCCTACCTGGGCTGGTTTTGAGCTGTAATCCTCAGATATGGTATCCTGAGTAGTGAGGATTACAAGTGTGAGCTACCAGTGCCCAGATTGGTGTCTGGTTTTCAACTCAAGGTCTTGAGTGCAATCTACTTGCTTGCACAAGTACAACTGAGCTCAGCGGAGTGTTGTATTTTGAATTTCTTGTTTTATATTTAGTTTTTAAAATATTGATTTTCATTTTTAACTTTATTAATATAAAATTTATGCTTGCTGTTTGCATTTTGAAATGTTTGGTTTTCCATTTTCAATAATTGTGTAGAGGAGGCTATTTACCAGGTTTCTTTCTTTTTTTCTTTTTCTTTTTTTTTCTGCCCGTCATGGGGCTTGAACTCTGGGCCTGGGTGCTGTCCCTCAGCTCTTCAGCTCAAGGCTAGCGCTCTACCACTTAAGCCACAGCACCACTTCCAGCATTTTCTGCGTGTATGGTGCTGAGAAATCGAACCCAGGGCCTCATGCATGCAAGGCAAACACTCTACCACTGAGCCACCTTCCC